TTTCATGCCATCCATTGTATACAACTGTGTCTAGCTATGAATGGTCACAGCGATCACATACACAGGCTGGGCCAATCACAGCTAATCACAACAAAAAAAAAACCTGAATGAATCGATTTCATTCAGTTAAATGCTTACTTACAGCAAATAAATAATTTGCTATAAGCAATCAAATTGTGTAAAAAAAAAAAATAATGATCACTTCCCCAAAGTAGTACAATGTTACTATGGTAACATTATACTAATTTGACCATAGTGGCGTATGAAAAAAAAAAAAAAAAGTAATAAAAAATAATTAAAAAATTATCTTTTTTTTTTTTTTTTTACTGTCACCAGTCAGTGTCCTTGATCACCACCACCACACCAGTTATATGATGACGCTATACTGCACTGGTGACAGTATGTAAAAAAAATTGTGAAAATAATTTTTTTTCATTTTTTCATTTTCCGAAAAATTATAACAAAAAAATCGCCATGCCTCTTACGAAATACATTGGACTGTTGGGGGATATCTGTACTGTTCTGACATTTTCGGGCCTCAAGAAATTAGATTGCCTGTCAGTACTTCAGGATTGATCAATTTTCAGATATAGCCCATAGTTTGTGAACTCTATACCTTTCCTACAAATTAAATAATAAACACTGATTTGGGTTATTTTCACCAAAGACATGTAGCAAAATACATTTCAGCCTAAATTTATGAAGAACAATTATTTATTTGCAAACTTTTACAACAGAAACAAAGAAAAACGTGGGTTTTTAAAAAAAAGTCTGTATTTTTTTTGTTAATTTAGCAAAAAATAAAAACTCCAGTGGTGATTAAATACCACCAAAAGAAAGCTCTAATTGTGTGAACAAAATGATGAAATTTTAGTTTGGGTACAGTGTTGCATGACCGCGCAATTGTCATTCAAAGTGTGAGAGCGCTGAAACCTGAATATTGGAAGGAGGTAAAAGTGCCCAGTATTGAAGTAGTTAAAACATATCTATGGTCAAATTGTAAAATCATATATTTATTTCTGTATTTCAGTTATTTCTAGCCTACTCCAATAATCTGAATGCTTTAGATTGTAAGCTCCATGAGCAGGGCCCTCATATTCCTTCTGTACTGAAATGTATTGTAATTGTACGGTCTCCCTTATAGTATAAAGCGCTGCACAAACTGTTGTCGCTATATAAATCCAGTATAATAATAATTTTAAGGTTTTTAAACTTATTTCATGAAGATCCCCACACATTTACTTACTTGAATTCTATGACATGCATTCACAATGCCCTGTGATTAGGCAATACTGTGTCACAGACAGGGGTGTCCCTAGGGTTGGTGTTACCCGGTGCGATAACACTTGGTGATTCCATGCAGAATGGATCAGATCTGCGGATTGAGCATAATGGATCGGACTCTGATCCATTATGTTCCCCAGTCCGCAGATCCGATCCATCCTGCAGGGATTGTCGGCTTGCTTTACAACTTACCTGTTCGTGGGGCGGGTTCGGTATCACCCCGTGCGGTAGGTGTCACCCAGTGCGGGCCGCACCTGCCTCGGGACGCCACTAGTCACAGAATTCACAGAACCTGCCTTCTGAACTAGAGAGGTGCTGAGAGAAGGAGCTTCAGCAGACAAAATCAGTACTGGAATTGCTGGTTGCAGGAAGCAAGGTACCATGGGATATGTAGTCCTGAGAAATTGAATGGAAACAGAAGATCAGCAGCTGCAAAGCATGCAGAGAATCCAGTAAGCTGTGGAAAGAAATAGCCAGGAAACAGGCAGCGCTCACAACATGAAATAAGGCTTTTCAAGTAGCGTATATTGGTTTGTCAAAAATAACTATGCTATTACAATGCTGACATTATGAGAATTAGATTATGTCATTTACATCCGCTATTAGCCTTGTACATTAGTGTGGTGCTGCATGATATTTGTGTCACAAAAGCTTTTACTGCACATAAAGCTCCACTATAGTGAAATGAGATTTCCTTTTAATAATTTGGAGCAATGTGTCTAAATCATGTTTAGAAAAGGTCATTTTATCCAAAAAATGTCTAGTACTAGGTTAACAGATAGCAGTTGTATTATTTTTTTTTTTATACATTGTGTTTTCAAATATTATACTGAGCACGGAGCAATTACATGGGATGTGGGGCTTCCATGCAACAGGTCTACTTATATAGTAAGAATGAAGGGATTGTGTTTCAGCCAACTAAAGCTTAAATTTCATTTGTCACACATTTACTTCTTGTTCATTGAACCCATGTTTAAATGGATGGGTGTATGTCTTGTTTTATTAATAATAGTGGGAATATGTCTGCTCTGGACTTCCAACAGTTAATTCCCGTCAGTACTAAGATGTAATGGATCACATCACAAGCTCTTGTCTCCCTCAATTACCTGCTGCTGTAGCTGTGTATGGCGTGCAGAGTTGCCCAAAGGTGTTAACAATTTAATCCTTATTACCTGGCCTTTGTTACATGCCAGCAGGAAGAAGTGATCTGGAACCTCTGGCATCACATAACCAATATTAAGTTTCCAGCTCAGGTGCTTTCAGCATGTTTTATTTATATTTATGGAGCGTTCATGTGTGTAGAGGAGTCCTTCCTGTCATATTTAGGGAAAAGATAAGGTATAATTAAAATGGAGTATGTGAGAGTAAGCTGCATTGTGCTGCTGTATACTGCAAAGATATGTGTTAGTCTTTATTATAGCAGATGTTCTCATACAGTGACTAATTACCTAGCAGAATAGAATGTATATATGTACAGTATGTATGGGGAGCATACAACTCTCACGTCTAAATATTTGCTCCAATATTTCATAGGTGGGATAAAGAATTTCTTTGATGAATACATCACCTTGTGTTATTGTATTGTGAATTTCTGTTGGCTGAGATGCTAAACATTTGTTACATGCTTATGAATAGGCAAATCTGCTGAAGACTTGTTCATCTGGATGTGAGTGCATTTAATCAAAAATATATTTGACAGCTTTGGGGAATGCAGTTCGTGGCATCTATCACTTGGACAGTTATTTCTTCAATGCTTTACGTCTGTTATTCAATCACAGTAATAGGTGACATGAAGGGACTGTCTATTGCTTCAGTTGTATCCAATGCTTATCTAGTGAATGCTGCACTATACAGGCAATTTCTTCTTGAAAAATCTTTGTTTAGCAAAATTGGAGTAGTGTCATTGGAAACATTGGATATGTCCCATGCTGGGCAGATTTTGGACAAAAGTTTTAAAACTTTTAAAGGCCTTATTCAGCGGCCCTTTCACAAGAGACCCTTGGCATTCTCCATTCTTACTGTGTAGACTCCATGGATTCACCATACTACACACCCCACCCCACATGAAAGCTTTACTTCTCTATAAGGTGTCTATCCTGGCTTTACATCTCTATAGGGTCCTATTATATCCCCCCCCTCCACCGTTCTCTCTTTACCCTCCCATCTTCATTCCCTCTGTCTTTATTCTACCTCTTTATGGTGTGTCAAACAAAGGACCACAATGTCCCCTCCTTGTACATGTTAAAGTTTCCACTCACATAATTTTATCAGGTGGATACCTATGAGACCTTCTGGAACACAGGGTCTCGATAAGTTGCATGGGAGAAGCTCCCTCCTCCATTTCACTCCCCACCACCTATGGCTCTGTCTGCCATTTAGTTTTATTTATTGTAGGACAGTTGAATGTGGAATTTATAACTTTATATGAATCTCCATAACTTTGTTGAAGTTTATTCAGAAAAGTTTAATAAACATCTATTGAAAGTACTAGTAATTAAAGCCATATACTTGCTACTTCTAGAACAACATTTTATTTGTTTTATTTGAGAGTGGGGATCATCACGAATGAAATATTGGGGTTTATTTACTAAAGCTGAAGAGTGCAAAATCAGGCTCACTTCTACATAGAAGCCAATCAGCTTTTAACCTCAGCTTGTTCAATTAGCTTTGGCAATAAAACTTGAAAGCTGATTTGTTTCTATGCAGAAGTGAACCTGATTTTGCACTCACCCCACCTGATGTTTGTAGGTTTAGATATCACTGGTATTGACAGGGTAATACTTAATTTTTTTTGTGCACAAATGTTTTTTCATTCTGTACTTCGTTACGTGTGTTTATTGTTTACTATGGTGAATGTTATGTGACTTTATAATCTCCATTTCTCCAAAATGTACTTTTGATTCATTATAATTAATTATTATAAAAAGAATTTGGATTAAAAAGAGTTTGGATTTTATATATATATATATATATATATATATATATATATATATATATATACATACTGTATACATTTTTTTAATCCCCACTTTTTAATAATAAAAAGATTAAGTGACATTATATTGAAAAAAGTATTAGAACGCCTGCCTTTACATGCAAATGAACTTTAATGGCAACCCAGTCTTAGTCCATAGGGTTCAATATTGAGTTGGCCCACTCTTTGCAGCTATAACAGCTTCAGCTTTTCTGGGAAGGCTGTCCACAAGGTTTAGGAGTGTGTATATGGGAATGTTTGACCCTTCTTCCAGAAGTGCGTTTGTGTGGTCAGGCACTGATGTCAGACGAGAAGGCCTGAATCTCAGTCTCCACTCCAATTTAAACCCAAAGGTGTTCTATTGCGTTGAGGTGCAGGCATGTCAAGTTCCTCCACTCCAAACTCGCTCATCCATGTCTTTATGGACCTTGCTTTGTGTACACATGCACAGTCATGTTGGAACAAGAAGGGGCCATCCCAAAACTGTTCCCACAAAGTTGGGAGCATAAAATTGTCCAAAATGTCTTGGTATGCTGACGCCTTAAGAGTTTCCCTTCACTGGAACTAAGGGGCCAAGCTCAACCCCTGAAAAACAGCCCCACACCATAATCCCCCCTCCACCAAACTTTACACTTGGCACAATGCAGTCAGGCAAGTACAGTTCTCCTAGAAACTGCCAAACTCAAACATGACCATCGGATTACTAGGCAAAGAAGCGTAATTCGTCACTCCAGAGAACACT